CTCTGACCCCCTCCCCGCAGGTGAACTACGACGGGGAGCTGCACAAGCACCCGCAGCTCGAGGCCGACCTGTCGGCGGTCCGGGAGATCTACGGGCCGCACGCGGTTTCTCTCAGGTAAACCGACGCCGCGGGGAGTGAAAGTGACATCCGTTCGGTCAGGCGTGGGGGCCTCTGTGGGAGTTATCTCAGCGGACGTTTTCTTGGGCTCAATGATATTGGAAAATATGGGGAGATTCTGGCGCGTTCCTGCGTGTACAGGATGGCATCTTCGTGCCTATATGGATTGTGCGTTTCTTGTACGTAGTTTAAGATTACATCGACTGCATTCAAATTCGTTAGCTAGGAGAGCTAGTTTTGGTAAAACCTCAGTCTTAAGTCGTGTCAGTCACTTCCGATGATAGATTGGGCCAGCTGGGCCCACGCTGTTACCATAACACTTCCATGCGAACAATACAAGGAAATAACGCATGCCCACTGCAATACAAGGAAATAACGCGTGCCCGCTGGTAACTACGTCGCACCGAACTCTGTGACCTGGCCCCTCAGAACCAGGAAGGAAAAACCCTCCTAGACATGCACAGTGTTTATCTGAAGGGTATGCATTTTATTCTGTGGTCACCTAATATATTCTTCGGTGATACATTTCTAGACCGTTTTTATTCGTTTTCATCATTCAGAAGAGCCCACCCTCCTTCTTGGCCTCTCTTTTCTCTCCTTGATGTAAGAAGACCCCCCTGTACACTCTGGGGGTGCCCTCCCACGAGCCAGCTCGATGGCTGCAGGTTCCGGGTCTTTGCCCAAAGGCTCGTCTCCCAGGCCCGTGGGCTCCAGGCCCCCCCGGCCTTTCCCTCCCAAACCCGAATCGGTCCAGCCAGGCTTCTTCCACTTGACTCTGGCCATTTGCACAGCCGTTTTCCCTCTCAGCCCCACTATAGTGCTCACTCGGGCCCCTGCCAGCATGCAGCTCTGCCTGGAGCCTCCTGGGCGCTCCCATCGCACTGGGCTCGGCCCTCACTCCCTGTCCTTCTCACCCCTGCAAGGTTTCGCTTTGCCTCCTCCCCTCGAGACTGAATTCTGTGGGTGCTGGAGCGATGCCCGCTTTTGGTGTTTGCTGTATTTTGGTTGGAGTTCAGTCCTGCTTGCATCCTGGCATTTGGTGTAGCGTGGGCCTGTCTGAAACTCACGCTGTGGGTGCCGGCTGGTTCCCAGTGGCCGCCTCCGTGCCCTGGTTCCATTCTCTTCCCTGGACACAGCCAGGTTTTGAGATCGAACGAGCACTTTCCGTGGGGAAGTGCAGCAGCGGCAGTTGCTCCCTAATTCCAAATGCTTCGCCTGAACTGCAGAGGCGGAAGCCCAGACCCCCTGCAGCCGCGGAGCTGGGGCTGTACACCCAGACCCCTCCCTCCCGCCTCCTGAGGCCTAGGAAGTCGAAATGGAGCGAGAGTGACTATATGGGAAAAGCAGGTCTTGACAATTGTCCAAGTTTTAGCAAATGAGCTGCGATCGTTTCACTGCCGATCCCTCCCGTGGCTCCGGGGAGGGCTGTTCTGTGTGTGTTTCAGAGTGAGTAAGCGAAGGAGGCAGTAGGAACTATCAGCAAGTCGTCCAAAACAATGACTAATTTCTTAACTTCAGTTGAACTTTGCTTGAAAGCTTAAAACTCTGATTGCAGTAACGTAACCCCCTCCCCCACTGAAAGGAAAAAGCCGGTGGGACAGGATTAACCATATGAGACGGCTCGGACTTCAGCGTCTTCCTTTGAAGCACGTGGTCTTGTTGGAGGATGACCTTGGCCTATGTTGACTGCTTTCATAGGTCAGAACTTCTAAAAACACCTTATGTCCATGCTGCCTAGACCTCAGTTATACTGTCACACATAGATGGCATTGTTTGTGTTTTCTCTCAGCAAGCATTTATGGAACATCTAGGATAATCTCTACTAGTATTTCCCATTATTGATAAGATTATGGATACTGTATCAACTGTTGAAATCAGATAACTATTTGGAAATTTATTTAAATGAAGTCATAAATGGTTGTGCTAACCCGCGCCCCCCCACCCCCCGCTTATGTCACTTATCCATTTTGATCCCATTCAAATCTCCATGAATGCAGGCCAGGTTCTCGCCTGCTCCAGATTTCCTCTAGATTCTCTCCAGATCCAGAGGGTGTTTCCAGAATAAACAGCCTCCCAGAGGCCTGATGACGTGCAGGTGATTCCGCAGGACGAGTGTGATTTGCTCAAATGAGAAGGGACGTACCGTCTGGTCCCAGGCACTGAGGGCTGGACACGTGGGAAGGGGAGGGTCAGGCCTCGGGTCTGGGCCCATCTTCCTTGCGAGGTTCCGAGTCTATTGAACACAGGCTGTTCTAATGAGCTGTTCTTTCACTTAATTGAGGTTTATAAGAACTTAATGGAGTTTGAAGAGCAAAAGTACCTCAATATGCATAATAGGCTATTTGGTGTCTTTTTTTTTTTTTTTTTAATGCGACATCTAATGAGGGGCAGCTAAGCACTTCTGAGTTCTCTGTAAGAGCCAGTCGCCTCCATGGAGGCAGACCCGTCGGGAGAGGGTGAAGGGGGGACAGGAAAAGCGCCTGAGGATGCATCTGTGAGAGTCGGTTCTCTCCGCCCCGCCCAGCCGTGTCCCTAGCAGCGCTGGTTGTGCGGAGTCACCCTCGTGAGCGGGTGACAGCTCTGACTCGGCTCCTGTGGGACAAAGGTCCGTGTGAATGTGATGAACCCGTGACTCGCCTGCACAGGCCTCACCTGGAGCCCTGCTACAGAATGAGGACGTTTCATGTTTTTCGGTGAATTTACCGCATAGGCATGTACTCATTAAAAAAAACCTCGCTTCGTGCCGTCTGAGAACAACGTGATCAACACCTTCAGGAAGGAAGGACTTACCAGCCTCGGCATTCTCACGGGCCGGGAGGAAAGGGATCCTGATCATTTGCCCGCGAGCTTTCAGACTCGCACCCCATATACAGTGCGCTTTGCTCTGTGACTTGCCCCCTCCCCTCAGTTCCAGTAAAAGGAAGATGAATGGGCAAGAATTCTAACACAAATTGCCCTCAAAAAATACACGTTCATAGAAAAATACGTTCCACATACACGGTGGGCAGAGGAGGCTTACAGCGTGAGTACGTGAAACACGGTTTACTCCTGTGTTGCTATTTAGTCCTTGTCGTATTTTCCATCCGAACAGCCATCAGCCTACTCTGCTCACCCTGTTCTTGGATCAATAGGCCACTGAACACCTGGCATCAGGGGTCAGCCTGGACGTTGCACTGGGTCAAGGACCCACAGGCAGATCCTCTCAGCCCGAGTTCCAGACGACAGGGTGCAGCGGGTCCTCCTGTGTCCCCCTCGTCTGCACACGTGTTCTGTCCTCCTGCCGTCACCTCCCCCGGAGATAAAGGCAGGCGCGCACGAGGTGCTGTGGGTCCCCGTGAGCCCACGCCGGCCTTCAGGACAGTCAGGCCCCTGGTGTCACAGTCACCGCTGTGTGCGAGGCTCCGGAAGCGACTTAGATGCAGAAGCGGCTGGTGACTGACTGCATCCCTCTGTGCTCCCGCAGGGGAACCGGGGTGGGGGTGGGGGGTCACTGACATAGGATAGCAGGGCAGCGCGGCAGGAGCTGCACACACAGCGCCCTTCCTGGTGATGCTCTGAAGTGAGGCCTGGAAACCAAGGGGAGTCTAGGGTCGGCACCTGCAGCGTCCAGTTAATTGCAAACCCCTAATGCCCGCCTTAACACCTTGGGAACCTTTAGTTCTCCTCCTCCTCCTCCTCCTCCTCCTCCTCCTCTTCATTTCCCTCTTCAATCAGATCATGGAGGTGAGTGTTTAGGAATTTATGCAAAATTGACGCAAGCAGAGTGTGTGCTTTGGCTGAACCTGGAGAGCAATGAAAGAGTTCCAATAATGTGCTGCCATCTGACACATAGCACCCTCTACATTAGTGCTGGAACAAAGTCAGATTTCCTACTGCAGCTCCTCAGAACATGCCCATGTATATAATACCTTATATTTTTTTTGGTTAGCTAAGCTTAGATTACTATTTGGGAAAATATTGGGCAGGAAAATTGGCATAGCTAAGGAAGTTGTTTGTTTGTTTTTTTTTTAAATAAAAACACCTTTGGCCCTTAGTATATAAGTAATTCATATATATAACCTTAAAAATTAAAAAATACAGAGAAGGTTGAAAAAAAGTGGTGAGATCACTCATAATATCACCATCCAGAAATAAATTGGTAGTGTTAGGAATTGGGAGGATACTGACTTTTAAGAAATCATATAAGGAATGCTTTAATGTTCACATGGGAAAGGTTGTTAAAAGGCCATATGCGCCTTCCGATTCATTTCTTCAGGATAAACCTCTGTGGCAGCGTCTGGACATCTCTCTACAATGAGAAGGACTGTAGGTCGGGTCCTTCCTGGTCTGTCTTTCTGGTTTACCCCTGTCTGCCTCTCAGCATCCCAGGCCTGCCATCAGCAATAAGTCCACGCAGAATTTATTCTTTCCTGCGCAACTGGCAAAGATGGGCCAAAAGAGAAAATGTCTTTCGATGATGGGGCTGTGGGGCAGGGTCCGTGTGAAAACCTGGCTGATTTCATTATAAAGTGTGGTAACCCTTCAAAACAGCAATTAAACACTATACATAGCACAAGACTCCCAAGTATAGTCAGACCATTTGTTTTGCTCAATAATTCTGGAAATCGTTCTATGAGAAGACAGATGCATGCAGATTTTTATCCAGGGAGCTATTTGTCAATATATTTAGTGTAAAAAAAGAATGGAAAGCAACCTAATGATGTATTATTCAATTTTGTTTATACAAATACAGCCATTTAAATGTAAATTCAGAGCGGTTTAGAAAAATATTCCACAGTATAGAAACAGCACTCATAGAAGAAGTGAAAGAGCAGGACAAAAATCTTTCCATGTTATATTACCCTTAATATTTGTATATATATGCTGTATGATATAGCATGTTGCCCTCAGTATATTTTATGTTATATGATATAGTATGTTACCCTTAGTATATATTATATGACATAGTATGTTGCCCTTAATATATTGTATGTGTTATATGATATAGTATGTTACCCTTAATATAGTCTCTGTGTTATATGATATAATATGTTACCCTTAATATAGTCTATGTGTTATATGATATAGCGTGTTAACCCTAATATATTCTATGTGTTATATGATATAGAGCATATGGACGATACGGGAGTGAGGCAGAAGCAGAAGGGAGATCTCTGAATGGTGGCGTTACAAGTTCCTTTTTGTTTGTTTTTCTATTTCTCATCTGATATAGGAGCCTATATGACCTTTGTAATCAGAAAAAGTACACGTTTTTAGAAAATACATAACCCATTTATAAAGTAAATTTTACCCACGACTTACAATTGATATATAAGTACTCTTTTTACTTTATTGGTTTTCCTATTTGTGCTTTATTATTAAAAGGTATTTTAGTTCCCATGCTTTTTGGCGCTCCACTTGCTCCGAAAGTAGTATATTTGAACATTTCCCGCAGGATATGAAATACTTTCATATCCACTTCGTTAGTAACGGGCAATGGTAAAAAACTGCGTCAGTGTGTGCTATTCTTTAAGTGTTTCCTTATTCTTCAGTATTCATCTCCCCCCGGATTTCTGCTGTCACGTACGTTTTCCAGGTGGGAGTCGGCGCCCGCTGTGATGTGGGGGATGGCTGTGGTCCCGGCTCCCTCTCCCGTAGGAGAGTCTTGGAAAGGCCTCGGGCAGTCTGTGCCCCCATCACATCTCCGGACGCTCTCTTTCTCACGCCTCACTGTGCATAGTCACTTCTTACGTTTACGAATAATGTGCCAGAGGTCAGGGTCAGAACATCATGGCCACTGGCTGCAGCCCTTCCTGACAGCCCCTGAGCTACAAATGGTGGGCGCTTTTTTAAAGGGTTGTGTGTGTGTGTGTGTGGGGGGAACCACACGGCCAGCAAGAGCATTGCGTGGCAGCGAGTCTGTGTGGCCCGAAAGCCTGGAAGAGTTACCATCTGGCTTTTCCAGGAAAGCTTGCTGAATCCAGAACAAGAGGCACAAAAGAAATGGTTCACGTGCTTGCGCCTTAGTCTTGTCTTCGTTTCTGTCTAATTTCATAACTAAATGGGCATATTTTTATATCTCAATTTGCATATGGTTATACAGGTTCTTACTCTGAAAAACACAGATGTTGTGACCCATGCTATTTTAAAAAATGGCTGCGTGAATAATTTTTAGCTTTTCTTTTAACCTTTAAAAGTATTACTAGGAGAGAATGAAAAGTTCAGTTTTTGAAGTAATGAAAATGTGCTCAGTGTTTGCATATATTTTTAAGGGGAGCATGTAGGAAGCGGGGAGGCTAAGTTATTCTACGTAAAATGCTGCAGTTTGCCCTAGACCTCAAAATGAAAAGACTGCCTGGATTCTTTCATTCATTGAATTACATGAACCATTTAGTCGTTAAAAATGCGTTCTCCGAATCCTGTGAAAGCGCCGCCGTGTTGTACTCTGTTAGCATTACTCGGATGGACGTGTGATACACTGCATTTTCATCGCGTACTTAACTATGTACCGGATAGGATACCGTGCTCAGCAGTGTTGCGGTTGGGCATGAACTCAGTACCTGGCTTTCCCACTGACATTTAAAAAGTTTATTGTTGAAAGTATTAGAGGTGTCTCCCTTGTCCCCCATTGTCCCCTCCACCTCGCTCCCACCCCTCCCAGGCCTTCACCACACCATTGTCTGTGCCTATGGGTTGGGCAGAGATGCATCTAAGGTCTCCGCTGACTTCTCACCTGCCCTTTGGCAATTTGTCCCTCCCTACACCTCAGCGTTCTCATCTGCAAATGAGGACGGTAGTGGGATGCCTGTGGGAAGGCGATGGTGAGGCCCTAATAGGATCCCCCCTTACTGTCCCACCCGGTTTCCAACACAAAAGGTAGTTGATTGAATATTGAGCTGATGAAGCACCTGCATAAGTAAATAGGACACACGTATTCAAGTCCCAGCGCCGTGCGGAGTGAGGGGGGCTGGCCGGCTCCATCACCTGGGGCCCCGGTTAGCGCATCTGGGAGCGAGTGCATGTGATCACGTGCGTGTGAAGTCCTGAGAGCAGTTCTGGCACAAAGCGCTCACTGGGACTTGACCATTAACTTCTGTCATTTCTGCTCTCTTTACAGTTGGCTCCCTCACTGGGTGTAGCATTTGTAACCAGAATTTTATAAAAGTATAAAACATAGAGATTAGTATATACTGGGAATATAAAAACCATTGTTTTTATACTCTTTTGTTAACTTAAAATACACTGGCTTGTGTCTCTCCCTGGGCTGGAAAAAAGTTGGTCTTCATAACATCTTAAGTGTGGCACATACCTGTTGTTACTTGTTTTAATGTCGACGTGTCAGACTTTCAGAGCTGCCTGTGAAAACAGTGACAGTTACATGGCAGACACCTCGACCGGTTTCAGAGCCACTGGTGTCTAACACGGAAGGAAAATTCCTAGACACGTTACTGGGGCAGTAACCCCCCCCCCCCACCTGTCAGAAACTCCTTTCAGTCCCTAGAAGCAGTTCTGCGCTCTTAGGGAGCACAGTGAGAGAGACGAGTCACGTGGGAAGACTTCAACTTGCTCCAGAGAACAGGGGCGTTCGAACCTGTGAACCAAACAGCTCTTGGATTGACACACGCACGTTCCGGCGGCCAAAGGCGGAAAGTTGTCTGGATGGATCCAGTAGGTCTAGGAGAGGCAGTCCAACCACATGGAGTCAGTTAATTCAGGTCCACAGGCATGTCCGAGCTCTCTGGAGGTCAGGGACAAGAGCTCATGATTAATTTTTTAATATAAAATAACCTAGGACACCCCGTCTTTTAAGGAAATTGAAAATATTGACGTTAATCTCTGCTTCCAGGGAGTATGGAGCCATTGACGACGTAGATATTGATCTGCATGTCGATGTCAGCTTTCTTGATGTAAGTATCCATTCACGCAACGTGACCGCTACCTTTAAAAAATGCTTATTTTTATGGGAGGAAATCTAATTTTTGCTTTAATGCTATTAGTAATGAATTGGCTTTTTCAGAGCGATTTATGAAAAAATGCTATGACTGGTTGAAGAAACAGATTTTATATATATATTTGTGTTGGTTTTTAAATATCCTCTGAAATTTACAGTCTCTTAGTACAGTACTTCAGTATTTCTTAAGTTTTCATTTTTATTTTCATGTGAAAAGGCAAAGATTAAAAGTACGTTGGTTTTATAATAATTTGTAGGCCTTAATGATTTATGCATTTCTTCAAAATAAGTTAAAAATATATTTTAATTGGGAAAATACGTCTAGGCTCTACAAGATGACTAATTCATCTTTAAAATATATTTATTTGCACAGGAGGAGATTGCTGTGGCTTGGGAAGTGATTCGAACAGAACCTATAATTGTCCGACTACACTGCTCACTTACACAGTATTTAAATGGCCCAGGTTGACTTTATTTCTCTATTATTTTGAGTATTTAGTTGTGTGTTGTGCATTGAACAAGATGACTGTGCATTTGGTAATTCTGAGAGTAATTGCAGCTATCTTGATAATGACATTTAAGTACGCTTGCATCCTGACAAAGATGGTTTACTGCCAATACGACTACTAGAAAGAGAAGCACGTACCATTTAGTTGTATAGATTTCAGAAGTTGACAAGCGTCTGTGAAATAAGCACATTAGTACCGAAAAGAGAACTTTGGTGTAGTAGAAGCTCAAATCTGTCTCTGATCCTGAGATTTAATTTTAATGTATGTTTCTCTCACCTCTGAATCCTGATGAACTCAGCCTCAGTGTAACATATTTCTGGTTTTGAAAATGGAGATCATCATAATAGTTTTTGTACTGTGGTCCCTTAACCGATGACTTTGCTGTTTCTCAAATGACAGCTGTTTACGACAAAGGACCCTGCTATAAATCTTTGCGAGACTTACTGGATTAAATTCCTTTTTCCCCGCCTACTAACTTAGGTGCACCTGCACACACACACAGACACACACCAGTTCTCTCCTGCTGCCTAACAAACCACTCCAAAACGTAGTGGCTTAAAACAGCTCCTCTCTCACCATTCTTCAGGGTTCAGCAGGGCAGCCCCTGCTTGGAGCCCCCCAGGGTTTGCAGTCAGATAGATGGTGGGTGAGGCCCGTGTCATTCAAGGCTCCACCAGGTCGGATGCTCAGGACGCTGGCCTTTCAGATCCGTAGCAATTGTCCCAGGTGTCCCCGCGGAGCTCAGCTGGGGCTCTTGAGTGGAGAGTCTACCTTGCGTGTGATTCTTCATGGGGGTTGGGCTTCCTGTAGCCCAGCGGTTCTCAACCTGTGGGTCGCGACCCCTTTGGCGGTCGAACGACCCTTTCACAGGGGTCGCCTAAGACCATCCTGCATATCAGATATTTACATGACGATTCATAACAGTAGCAACATGACAGTTATGAAGGAGCAACGAAAATAATTTTATGGTTGGGCCACAACATGAGGAACTGTATTTAAAGGGCCAGAAGGTTGAGAACCACTGCTGTAGCGTGATAACGGGTCCGGCGCAAGTGATCCAAGAGACACCTGGCCGAGGCCCGGTGGGTCTTCCCCTGTTCTCTGTTCATCAGAGGAAGAGCCCCCCCAGAACCAGGGCCAGGGCGGAGATGGCCGCTGGCCAGGCTGCTCCATCCCTCACCTGCCATGCAGGCTCCGCTGTGGCCTCTGCACCGTGTCCCTCAGGCACGGCCAGGACCTCACACCCACTGTTCCTTTTCACGTAAGAAAGAAAGCCGTCCTTCCCAGCTTACGAAGTACACAGGAGCAGCTCTCATTCTGAAAACGCTTCCACAGTCACCTCTTTCCTTTTTTTAAAAAAAATATTTTTGTTGATTTCAGAGAGGAAGGGAGAAGGAGAGAGAGAGAAACATCAGTGATG